AATGATGAGCTCGTCAATTACAGAGGAGTAGCCTACATGTGTAACCAATAACTCTGCGCGTCAGTCAGTTTGTGTAATGAAACACAGGTATAAAAGATGATGGTGTAAAATTGAACTAAGCGCCGTTTCCTGTTCTCAGTACAGCGCGGTAAAGCAATGGGCGTTTTTTCATGATAGGTCTGCTTCCTGCAATACTGTAAACCACGCCCACTGTATACTGCCCACAGCCGACAAACCACGCCCACAAAGTACATAATGCTATCAGTTTTCCAGATTGCGGAACTCTCTCCGTTCCTCTTTCCACTCATTTTAAAAAATTCTAATTTTTAAAACTCTTCAGTAATTCTAAAATGTTAGTGAGGAGGAAGTTAGATAAGTGGGCGTGGTCTCGCAGGAGGAGGAAGACGCCTTTGTTTACGTTTTTCATGACTAGCATGTACAGCTAGATGTCGCCAACAGCGATGAGTCGGTTTGATAACGCAGTGCATAAACAAGTGATGAGGAGAAGGATTTATCGGATTTGTTACGTCGACGACATGGCTTTAGTCTGTTGTAAGGTAATGTTGAATTTAATTTAGTCATATTTAAAGCAGTTTTTAAAAATGTGTGTCGCTTATTTATGTCAAAACCGGTCCGACCTGTGAACTAGCAAATCGATTTTAAACTAAATCTAGCACCGTTAGCCACTCGGCTAGCCGTTGTAGATCAGTCTAAAGTCAGTTTAATACATATGTTTGATTGTTAGAATCAGTTAAACAGTTTAAAACTATTATAATTTGTGCGGTACAGTCTACCCGGTAGATGAACAACAGCTCTAACGAAAAAACAAAGTCGGGCTGTCATCGCGTTTGTCAAAAATCCTAATCACATTATTAATAATGTACAATAAATGACTGGTTTCAGACAAAATATGCTTTTGTTTTCGATTACGGAGATAGTGTTCTTGATATCAGTGTGAATGTTTTGAGTTGTTATGTAAAAACTGGCTGTGTTGACTTTCATTTTTATTTTGCAGGTGCGCATCACAGATTGATCGATACGGCGAATTCTGAGAAATGACATTTCAGACGTTTCGTCGTGTAGTTTGATCCTGACTTCATCATATGTGACAGAATATTACATAGTAACTAATGATGATTCACGCATGCCTGAACATGCCCGAATTTGGTTTTCCCTTTGTGTTGATATGATTTATCTTGACATTTTACACCAGTTTTGTTTTATTTTCTTTTAAAGCTTTGGTCTATGCATTGTATTATATAATTGTAATATTTTTTTTACACCCATCATCATAATGCACGCTCCAGTTCCACCTTCCCCCGTGAAACCAGCCATGGCCCCATCAGTACAGCTGGGTGTCACGGTTTTTTACACTTGTCTTTATGGGGGTCTGTTTTTAGTTGTATACGTTCAGCTTTGGTTGCTGTTACTCTACCGGCATAAGCGATGGAGTTACCAGAGTATTTTTCTTTTTCTTTGCCTGTTCTGGGCAGCGCTTCGCACAACGCTCTTCTCCTTTTATTTTCATAATGCCCTTGCGGCCAACCACCTGCCCACTCCAGTCTACTGGCTCCTTTATTGCTTCCCAGTGTGCTTGCAGTTCTTTACCCTGAGTCTCTTCAACCTTTACTTCACTCAGGTGAGACAAGTTATAGTGAAAGATGTTTGCATATCTGAGAAAATAGTCCACTCCTTAATAACACTGTTTCACTTTGACAGGAGTTGCTCAAAGTTAGAAGCGTATTCAGCATTGAGCCCAGGAAAGCACTGTGAGTGGATTTCCATACTAGCATGTTAATGGAAATCATCTGATTATTTGTTTAATGAGAATTGTGTGTGTGTGTGTGTGTGTGTGTAAACTTTGACTTCTAGATGGGTGGCACGGTGTGTGTATGCCACCATGAGCGTCATCTTCCTGTGTGTCAATATAGTTTGCGCAAGCCTCGGACAGCATGGCGCTTCCGGTGGAGCTGGTGAAAACACGTGGAGCCTGGTTCTGGTTCGGGTGCTGGTTAATGACCTACTGTTCATTCTGGAAGCTGTGTGTCTGGCCACATCTCTGCTCCTCTTAACTCGATCCTCGCACCCTACCACTCCTTATATACGCAGTAAGGTACCGTACATACTTTTCAAATGCTTAAAGAAATAGTACCCAGTCCTCTGATCCTCTGCAGTGAATGGGTGCCGTCAGAATGAGAGTCCAAACAGCTGATAAAAACATCATAGTAATCCACACCACTCCAGTCCATCAGTTAACGTCTGGTGAGGTGAAAAGCTGCGTGATTGTAAGAAACAAATCCATCATTAAAACTTTAAACCATCACTTCTGGATAACATATGAGTTTGTAATCTATAATAACGTATCCAGCAGTGAAAAAGTCCATCTCCTCCATCAAAATCTGCTGACATTTTTTTTAGAACTATTTTTTTTCTCTTGTAAATGGTGCTTGATCTGTGCATATTTCTCTCCTGGTTCAGACGAAAATACTTTTTCACTGGAGAAAGCAATATTATGCAGGACTCGTATTTTAGCAGGACGCAATTTTACCAGGTTTAAAGTTAAAATGCCTTAATAATGAATTTGTTTCTATAAACTTGCAGCTTTTTTACATTAATTGATGGACTGGAGTGGTGTGGATTATTGTGATGTTTTTATTAGCTGTTTCAGCAAATTTTCATTTTTGTGTGAAATATTCCTTTAACCTCAAACGGCAGTTGCAATCCACTTTTACTTCTGTAATCTGAAATATTATGATATAGTTTAAAATTAACCTAGGAACATCTTTGAACAACACCTTCTGCTAAATTAATGATTAAATGTAAATAAGAACGTAAATAGAGTCAGATTCGATTTGATGTTGATTTTAACATTTACATCCATTATGATCTGCTGTATCATTTTCAATCTTATTTGCCACTCATGATAAACAAGACAAACTTTGGGACCAAAAAGGTTATTTGCAGCTATTTATTTAGTCTTCTGCTTGCAGGGGCTTTGTCGGACTGCGGTGCTGGGGGCAGGTGTCATCTTGCTCTTCTCTAGTAGGGCGTGCTACAATCTTGCTGTGCTGCTTTTGTCTCAGAATCATAAAGTGGAGGCCTTTGACTATGACTGGTACAACATCTCTGATCAGGTGGGCAGTTGCACTTCTTTGGTTGCTAATGGAAAGGTGTCCCTGTCACTGGTCAGTTTGTGATGTTCAGTGTTGTTTTCAAAGGCTGACCTTCAGAGTGAACTTGGAGACAGAGGCTACATTATCTTCGGAGCGGTTCTCTTCATTTGGGAGCTGCTTCCTACCAGCCTGCTCGTTCTCATCTTCAGAGTTCACCAGCCTCCTCAAGAAAAGGTCTGCTGATTATGCATTTTTCCATGTCTATTACATGTAATTTTAGTTTGTTAATACACTTCCGTTCAAACGTTTTAGGTCAGTTTTTAAAGAAATTAATACTTTTATTTGATCAAGAATGCATTAAATTGATTAAAAGTGACAGTAAAGACATTTAGGTCTATGTATAAAAAAAGGTAATACTTGTATTCATGTTGGTTTCCTGTGTTTTTGAAAAATAAGTTTCGATTCTAATGGCTTTAAAAATGATTTGATCACCACAAGTATATCAAAATGAATTTTAGTTTAGAAATCCAATCCACATATGAATGAAAATTGAAAAATGAGTGTCACATCATCGAGCTGTTTGCTTTGTTTATTTCAGAACTGCAGCCCAGCAATGTGCAACACACGAGGCTCACGCTCATATTTCTTTGACGATCCTCGTGGAATGGATGACACGGGTTCTCTCTGGAGTCACAGTATCAATCCTCATAGCAGGTATCAGGCTTTATTGCAGCTCAGATAAGAGCAGCATGTGGGATCATTAATGATATAGTGATTAAAACCAAGACTCTCCACCAACAGCTGGTTTGGATCCAGTGAGACGACTCCACTCCTCTTCAGCCGGACTCAGCAGAGCAACCAGCACCACTCTCTTTACTCCACTCCACAGACCTGACCGCTATGCAAAGCTGCAGAGATCTTCTGACCTTCTCAGGCGATAATACAGCATTACCTCTTCCTGTTGAGTAGCTCAATGGGTTTGTTTGCACTAATACTCATCAGAAGCATCTGTACTTCTGAAGTTGCACCTTAACTTTTCAAAGCTGACCAGTTAAGACTAGATGCTTGTGATAAAAGGACCCAGTTGGTGGTTTTTCTATAAGGAGGAGTTATTACCACATTTACCTTTTCATCATTTATAATGGTAACCTTAAAATGTATTAACATATTATTTTTGTGCAGGATGATATTCTATTTTAAGTGGTGCATACGGAAGCAATAATTTTGGTACTAACCTTGTACTCTGATATTTGTCAGTTTATTTGAATAAAAAACTAATTTAAACGGTGTCATTTTATAATTTTTTGTTTACAAATTTATGGTGCACTCAGAATTTGTCTTGTCAGAATCTCAGAAAATACAAAAAAAATCTGAATTTAGAAATGTAATATTTCGCTGTAAAAAAAAAAAGTGAGTGGGTCATAAAAAATTATCTTAGGTTAATGGTCATTATGACATTTATTTTTTTGTACTTTAGTTTGGAGTGGGTATGATATTTAAAAAAATTTTTTAACAAGTCTCGTGCTCACCAAGGCTGCATTTATTAAAATAATTTTTCAGCATCATTACTCCAGTCTTCAGTGTCACATGATCCTTCAGAAATCATTCTGATATGCTGATTTGCTGCTCAAGAAACATTTCTGATTATTATCAGTGTTGAAAACAGTTGTGCTGCTTAATATTTTTGTGGAAACCATGATACATTTTTGTTCAAGATTCAAAAGAACACCCATTTATTTGAAATAGAAATCTCTTGTAACATTATTAATGTCTTTAATGTTACTTTTAATTAACCGAGTCCTTGCTGAATAAAAGTGTTAATTAAAAAAATAGCATACTGACCCCATACCTTTAAATGGTATAGTTGATAAACTCACTAGACATACGTCTCTTTCGAACAATTTATTGTGTTGTATGTACAGATCCTCCAATTAAAACACTTTATACATTATGTACAGTAAGTTAATTTAGATATTTGGTTAATGGTCATCTTTTACCCATAACCAAAGTTAATCTAAGAAAAAATCTATGATGTAGCGCTTGAAATAATGAAAATACACAAAGAAGGGGAAAACATCAAGTTTTAAGGGCACACAAGAAATCAACAGACCTTGTTCCTCTGACAGACAGAAATCACATTCAGAGAGGAAAGTCTCAGCATTACTCTAGTCAGACGTCACAGCGGACTTTCAAGGTGCAAGGCTTTTTTTTATCCTTAATATCTTTATGCGTGGTAACCCAGAAACCAGTTCTCTGCCCGAGTGTCTTCCGTACACGTTACAATGACAAATCCTCCACACAACGGGAAGTGCTTGATGTGCCTCATTTAAATGAACATATAAGAACACATGAACTTTCCTCAGATAATCTGACATCTCAACATGCCAAGTGCCCAAGAGAAGCATTTCTACTGTCAAAGTCAATTCACAATTGCACGTTTAAATGGATCACGTCATCAGTGGTCAGGAGTTTTAGTGGTCTCCAGTTTACGCAGGCGACGTCGTCTCAACTCGGCGGCATTTGGCTCACCGTCATCCTCATCTTCATCCCCCTCCTTCCTGTCTTTGTCCACTCCTGTGGTTGAGTCTGGTGGAGAAAAGCCTGTAGCTCCATTTACAGATCCATCTATGAACAAGAGAATACAATGACCCTGGAATCAACATACAACCCTGATGCCAGGTAGCCACTTTTAATGGCTACATACTTGTGTGTCATAGTATGTCAGTATATTGATTTAAACAACAAGAACGGTTTCAGTACAATAGTTTTTTTTTTTTTACTTTTTATATGAATTTAAAAAAAATTTTAAACCTAAAATCAGCAAGCTTTTATTTAGGCGGGTTGCTGCCAAGTATAGGCGCTGCAGAGTGAAGCGCGTCAGTTTCAGTTTCTCAGTTTTGCTCTGAAACCAGAAGAGCACAGCCTAAATTGATGCTTTCAGTTCGAATAGAAATCTTATCCAGTATTACTCGATCTAAAACAGTGATTGTGCATTAACAGCTGTCAGCCATGTTGGTATGCAAATGAGCCGTCTGAACTTTTACCCAGCGCATTTTTTATTTTGGTCACGCTTTTGCACCATTTATGTGCACCCGTTTATATATATATTAATGTTTTTAACATGATCCTTCAAAAATCATAAATAAATATGCTGATTTGGCACCCAATTTTAATTATTAATAATGGTTCTTATTATCATCAATGCTGGAAAAAGTTTTTGTTGCTTAATATTTTTGTGGAACCTGATCTTTTTTTTCAGCATTTATTTGAAATAGATTTTTACGCAACTTTATACATGTCTTTATCACTTTTGAGCGGTTTAATGCATCCTTGCTGAATAAAAGGATTTCTTTCAAATAGTAGTATCATGGTTTCTATAAAAATATTAAGCAGCACAACTATTTTCAACATTCATAATAATAAGAAATGTATCTTGAACAGCAAATCAGCATATCAGAATGATTTCTGAACAATCATGTGACACTGAAGACACACACACACACACACACACACACACACACCTTTACTTAGCTATCTAAATGGGGACATTACATAGACTTCTATTGTTTTTATATACAGATAGTTATACACTTTTTAACCTAAACCCACCCCTACCCCTCACAGAAAACTTTCAGCATTTTTACAATTTCAAAAAAACTTTGTTTACTTTATTTTTTATAGCAGTTTTACAAATGAGGACGTCCCCAAATGGAGGTTTTTGGCGATTTTGTCACGTTTTGCTCACTTTTGGGTACAAATTTGTCCCCAAAATATGGTTAAGTACACACACACACTAGCTTAGTCATTCAAGAAGTTGTGGCATCATTCTACTCACCGCTCTGAGCCTCGTTCTCCTGACTGGGAGTTTCCGTGTTGCCCGTGGAGGAAGAGGACTCCACATTCACTGATGTACTCGTCTCACCAGCGTTGGTTTCTGATCTTGGAGGACTAAACAGAAAGTAAAAAAAGAAAGAAAATACGGGGATTTCAGAGGTAGGAACTTTTTATCAAACGAACCTCAAGCCATGTTTGCATACCTTAATGTAGCCACCGTGCTGAGGTAGTGATGAATGTTGAGCATGGCGGCATCCAGCAATGTGTGGATGTTGTGAAGGCACTGCAACCTGGCTTCCAAACCCCGCCTGCCCTCCTGCTCCAGTTCTCTGAGCTCGGCCTCTGACATGGTGGACAGAGTCGATGGTGGCGGTGGCATGGATGACACTAGTAAACACAGGGGTCACAGATTACTCAAATATATCTTGCAAAAGCATTTTTTTTTTCAATGATGCATGATATTATAGTGCCGCATTTTGACCACTCTGACATACTAAAGGGTGGAGGTGGAGGCATCGGCAGCCATGGAGCTGATGGGAAAGGTGGAGGCATGGAGAAGGGGAATCCAGGCATTGCTCCGGGAGCAACAGAGGCACTGTCTGCATTCGGCTGGGTCGAGTTGCTGGCTCCTGATTCTATACGACACAATGTGAAAATTATTATGAGAATCATGGGTATTTCAGCTTTTCAGTGAGGTAAGATAAATAAGAGCTGCTGACCTGCTCCCTGGGCCTGTGTTGCAGCGGTGCTGGTCTGTGGAGCGTCAGTAGCTGCCTGTGCACCTGGGGCAGCAGGAGGAGGCGCGCCTGGGAAGGGACCCCAAAAGGGAAACAAACCCGGAGGAAACTGAGGCATCATACCTGGAGCAACTGCACAGAAGAGTAACCATGGTTTACAGAGAACAAACAGCCACATCAGCAGATTAATCGGCCAGGTTTTGATGTTTTTACCATTGACAGGTGGATGTACGGGGGCATTAGCAGGAG